AATATAAAATATAAAAAATCCATTAAAAAGGTACTTAAACGATAAAGCAAAGGATAAAAGAAAAGGAAAATGAAATCTTGCAGAGATCTAACAGCTTTCTGATAAAACATTCAGCTCAACATATTAATTAGGATGAATAAGTTGGTGTGGTCACGAATGGAACAATCTAGCTCTTCTGGCCTCCTTTTCATCTGATTTTTCGCCGCTGCCTTAATAATTTTCACGTTAAAGAGGGTAAAAAGTAATTCATTAAAAGAAATTAAGACATTAGTTAAATATGGTTAAACGGGTGTTGAAGCAGTTTTAACTGCTTTATAAAACAGTTCACGTGGTTGTTACATTCTTTTATCGTCATCACGTTCAGAATATGCTCTTAAAGATACTTTACCATAGGATTGAAAAAAGGGATCTATTAAATTGCGCAGTTTTCAACTGTCAAATTACATCAAATATTTTTGTGGAAAAAAATATAAGACAAACCGAACTACAAAAAAAAAAAAAAAAAAAAAAAAAAACTTATTATTTTTGACTTATCCGTTAATGTAAAGTGCAAACTTTATATTTCTTCAATAACTATAATTACAATATTTATAAAGAACTTTTTTCAGTTTTATCCCATGCTTTCACTCTAAATTCTAAGAACTATTTCAAATTCTATGACAAGCTTATTTCATTGGGAAGAAAAAGACAAAAAAAAAAAATTACAATAAAGAAAACAAAGGTAACATATATATATATATATATATATAGTTGCATTCTAATTTAATTTAGTTTCATTTTTTGTTCCTTTCACAGTCCCCTATACCCAAAAATTTTTCTTGGCTACGGCACTGAAGCCAATTAAACAAAAAAACAAAAAATAAAATAAAATACAACGTACACGACCACTTGATCTCATAGCATCGGGGGTTCAAGTCAGATAGGATTTGTGAAAGACTGCAGCTTCGATCTCGTGTTGTATTAACTAACAAAATAAATCTTATATGAGCATAGAAGCCAAGCCTAAAAATAAACTCTAGCTTATACGTCAAGGTGCTTATATATATATATATATATGTTGAACTATAACCAAAATAACAAACGAAGTTTTAACGTCAAAAGAATAAGCAGAGATTTTTTCAAAATTTGAACGTTAAATGTAGCTCAATATTAAAAACCATGTTAATAAAATCGAAGAGAACATCTGTGCTTGTTAAATCAACTGCATGTAGATAAATTTTTTTGATCACTGCTAGCTAATTGTGCCTTAATAAAATATGATAAATTACTAGTTGCCAAGAGTACTTTCTAACACAAGGATATATAAAATGCCAAACTGAATTAAACTAGTTTTAGAGAAAGGCAAACATCAATTTACCAAATGAATATAAAAGTACTCACAATATACGTTTTCCTTTTTAAAACGAATTTTCTGTATATGTATTGCATATGTGCACCACAAGGTCCACAACCAAACTTTTGAGGAAGTATGATTTAACATTTACCTACTCATGAACCACTTTATAAAAAATGTTAGATATAAAATTAGATCTGTCACTACCCAGTAGTACCACTTACCGACTGACATTCCGGCATGAGTCGCCCCCGACAAATCCAAGATGTTTTTTAAACCATACTTTGGAGAACTCCTAGAAGCGAGGACGATGATGAGGAGCGAGCGAGGAACACGAAACAAACGAAGCCATTTTTAACAGAGGACACAAAAGATCGTTTTTTTGATCACATATACCGCTAGGTCTATGCAAATGATGTTTAACAGGAAGGACGATTAGGTTTTTGACAACGGCGAGACACTGGAGAATTTTAGATCCCTACAGAGTGTGGAGTTGGCCACGAAGCGGCCTCTAGTGAGTATAGTTTGGATGATATTGGAGATTTGGTTTACCCTAATCCAGCTTTTTCCCAGTTAGTTTGCTCCACTTTGGACATGTTGAAACCAGATGTTCATCATCGGCTGGTTTTGCTTCTTCAGGTACATGAGCTAAACAAACTGTCCAATTAGAGTCTTTCTATATACATACATACATAGAGTTTTGAATGGTTACAATGGATAAATACTCACCGAGATAAATATTGAAATAACTGTTAAAACTGCACCATATTATATGTATATATATATATATATATGTATGTATGTGTGTGTGTGTGTGTGTGTGTCATATAGGGCTTTAATTCTTTTGAAATATATGTTTCACCTTCTAAAGGGGTTTTCGCGGCAACAATAAATCTACCGAACAAAAATGTTGTTTAATAAATGATAAGGTTTTTGTGTTTTTGGTAAATATTTGACAGTTGTCTCTCTGAAAATTTCTGGAAAACTGTTCTGAATTTTGAGAAAAAGTAGTAATTTCAGTGGCTAAATTACTAAACGAAAATATAAATTTACAGGAAATAGTGTGAAACTATTAAAAGTTTAAAGGGTACAGATATTGAAAAATTAACAATCATTTCATTTAAAACTTAATCCTCGCTCTATAAGAATGAATTTGAATTCGTTATTATTGTTTTGTAAATTTATATAAGAAGTAAAATTACTGATCGACCAAAAGATTCGGAAACAGAAGTGCCAAATTACAACAATTTATGACACGGGTAGTATAATATATTTCGTATTTGCTCTGTCAAATCTGTTTGGAATTAATTAAATTGGATGATCTCTTAAACATGCAATTCTTTCTTATTCTTAATTTGTGATTTGCTGATCGTCTTATATTAAACTTCTTCACATGTATGAATGAGATTTTTAATGATTACATTTTCATAAGTAGTTACCTATTAAATGTAAAAATCTGACGACATAACGTGATAAAAATTTAATCTTATTAATCGTCGTATATTTTTTCGGTCAACTAACTAATTTATTACAATCTCATAATTAATGTCATACGATCAAAATAATAATAAGCACCTATAAATAAATATTAAAGTGGCCATTAAAATCACATTCATTTGTATGTTTAACAAAGCAAATTAAAAAGGCAAATATAACTATCTTGTTATAACACTATTGGCTATGATTCCAGTTTATACACGTGATATGAAAATATGAAATAAATAGGGTAGTCGGACATAACATCACGGTATATCAATGAATGTGATTGTGATAGTGAAAAGAAATTAAAAAAAAAAAAAAAACAAAAAAACAAAAAGTTCCTAGTCAGAATTTTATTGTGACTTTCTAGTTATATTTTTTATAAGACCGTAAATTTTTTGTACCCCTAAGTGGCAAAGTCGAACTACTACGTACGGGTCATATATATAAACATTAAAGTGAATAGTGGATGATTATGTAAAAACAAAAAACCAATTGGGTCCTTGCAACCGTCCTAGGATTCACAATTATCATTGTAGCTGTATTTAATGAGACAATAATTATGATAGGGGCGCTAATTAGGAGACAAAGAACGTACAAGAATTAATTACTTATTATATGCTATGTTGTTTCGTAAATTAACCCGGACAGGTTACAACTTTTAAGTGCGGTGGATTTGCAATGGGTTTCACCACCAACCATGTAACATTTGATGGCCTCAGCTTCAAGCTCTTCTTGCAAAACCTAGCCTTTGTTGCCGCCAACAAGCCCTTGGCCGTCACCCCTTGCCACGACCGCCGACTCCTGGCAGCCCGATCCCCGCCACGCGTCACCTTTCCTCACCCTGAGCTACTCAAGTTGCCTCCAGTCACCGACCTAGGGCAATTAGACCCTAACCCTACTCATGTCTTCAAAGCCACCGACGAAGAGCTCGTCTTCAAGATCTTCCGGCTGAGCCCCGACGACTTCTCCGCCCTAAAAGAAAGGGCCAAATCAGGCGACGGAGACCGTGTGATCACGAGCTTCAATGTCGTCACCGCCTTCATATGGCGGTGCAAGGCATTGTCTTGTGACGCAAGTAATGACATGGAGAGGCAATCGAGGATCCTCTACGCGGTGGACATAAGGAGGAGAGTGGACCCCCCCTTGCCCCAATCATACACGGGGAACGCAGTTTTGACTGCGTACGCGACGAGGTACTATAAGGAGCTGGAAGAAGGGCCGTTCTCGAAGATAGTGGAGACGGCGGCGGAGGGAGCAAGAAGGATGACAAATGAGTATGCGAGGTCGGCCATAGATTGGGGTGAGCTTTACAAAGGGTTCCCTCACGGCGAGGTGTTGGTTTCGTCGTGGTGGAGATTAGGGTTTGCGGAGGTTGAATATCCATGGGGGAAGCCCAAATATAGCTGTCCAGTGGTGTGTCATCGGAAGGATATTATTCTGTTCTTTCCGGATATTGAAGATCGTGATGATCATGATGAGCCTGATGATCTCAATGGCAAACAAGAAGGCAGAGAGAGAAAAGATGGGGTCAACGTTTTATTGGCCCTACCGGCCAAGGAGATGGAGAAGTTCGAAACTTTATTTCACAAGTACTTATTAAGTGGTTGATATTTAGGCAAAAAAAAAACAAAAACAAAAACAAAAACAACAACAAAAAAACTTATGTGGTTGCAGAGAGGAATCGAAAAGGAAACTTATCTTATTCTCACCATATATATTATCTATATGGACGGGGTTTTAATGGTTATTTAGTAAAATATATGTGGAGGGTTAACGTGTATACAGTGCCTTTTCAGGCCACATATAATCAAATTAATAGAGTAATTTCTATTATCATAATAGCGATCATGTATATAAATACCAAACTTAGATATATATATATATATATATATATTTGTCCAGTGCTTGCTATAATTTTATGTTGTAGGGAGAAGTATAAAAAGTCCAGTGCTTCCTTTTACTTTTCATTCAATTACCTTTTACTTTTCATTCAATTACTTATTTTTAATTTTGCCCTAATGAAATAATTTTTAGCAGATATATAATCATTTAAGTATTTCTGTTACATATCCTCGAAAACACCATATATCAAATGGCCCTTAATAAATATTTTTCTTTATAATTTCCTTTTAAAACATTTTTTCCTCAACGTGTCCTTCGTACATATATTTTTTTTTATAATATCCCTTTAAAATATTTCTTTTTTCTGAAACACGCTCCTATTCAAATATCTTTTTCGTTGTCACGTGTACTTCAAATTCGTCCTGCCAAAATTTATATTTTAGTGACTGTGCTTACTTATATTATATTCAACCCAAAGACGTGGTGTGGTTTAAATGTATATTTTCATCTAGTCGTTTTTTTTAAGGAAATTTCATATATTATATTTTTGACGAGGCACATGCTATTATATCCAAAAAAAAAAAAAAA